CGGGGCCGGGGTATCGGGCGGGTTTTTTTTTTTTTTTTTTTTTTTTAGCCCCTAGACCAAAATGAGCACTGGACCCTCTGAGTGCGGGAGTAGCCCCACCGCAAGGGTTAAAATGCCTGGAGTGGTTCTTTAAAGTGAAACTCCCCTTTATATTCATTGCACCCATTAAACCCTTTGCAACCTCTTCCCTCTACATCCCTTGTATCCCAAGCCACATGTTTTCTCTGCACCCCCCTTCATCCCTCACCCCACATATCCCCTGCACCCCTTCATTCCTCCTCCCACATCCAAATATATCCCCTGCACTCCTTCATTCCTCCTCCCACATCCAAATATATCCCCTGCACTCCTTCATTCCTCCTCCCACATCCACATATATCCCTTGCACCCCTTTCTTACTCCTTCCTCCCACATCCAAATATATCTCCTGCACCCCTTCATTCCTCCTCCCACATCCACATATATCCCCTGCACCCCTTCATTCCTCCTCCCACATCCACATATATCCCATGCACCCCTTCATTCCTCCACCCACATCCAAATACATCCCCTGCACTCCTTCATTCCTCCTCCCACATCCAAATATATCCCCTGCACTACTTCATTCCTCCTCCCACATCCGCATATATCCCCTGCACCCCTTCATTCCTCCTCCCACATCCGCATATATCCCCTGCACCCCTTCATTCCTCCTCCCACATCCGCATATATCCCCTGCACCCCTTCATTCCTCCTCCCACATCCGCATATATCCCCTGCACCCCTTCATTCCTCCTCCCACATCCGCATATATCCCCTGCACCCCTTCATTCCTCCTCCCACATCCGCATATATCCCCTGCACCCCTTCATTCCTCCTCCCACATCCGCATATATCCCCTGCACCCCTTCATTCCTCCTCCCACATCCGCATATATCCCCTGCACCCCTTCATTCCTCCTCCCACATCCGCATATATCCCCTGCACCCCTTCATTCCTCCTCCCACATCCGCATATATCCCCTGCACCCCTTCATTCCTCCTCCCACATCCGCATATATCCCCTGCACCCCTTCATTCCTCCTCCCACATCCGCATATATCCCCTGCACCCCTTCATTCCTCCTCCCACATCCGCATATATCCCCTGCACCCCTTCATTCCTCCTCCCACATCCGCATATATCCCTTGCACCCCTTCATTCCTCCTCCCACATCCGCATATATTCCTTGCACTCCTTCAATCCTCCTCCCACATCCACATATATCCCGTGCACCCCTTCATTCCTCCTACCACATCCACATATATCCCTTGCAACCCTTCATTCCTCTTCCCACATCCGCATATATCCCTTGCACCCCTTCATTCCTCCTCCCACATCCGCATATATCCCTTGCACCCCCTTCCTCCCTCACCCCATATATCACTTGCACCACCTTCATCCCTCACCTTATCCCCATATATACCATACACCCCCTTCATCCGTTACCCCACATCCCCATATATCCCTTGCACCCCCGTCATACCTCACTCCACATCCCCATATATCTCTTGCACCCCCTTCATCCCTCACCCCACATCCCTTACATCCGCTACATTCCTCACCATGTATTGCTTGCACCCCAGTCATACCTCACCCCACATCCCCATATATCTCTTGCACCCCCTTCATCCCTCACCCCACATCCCTTGCATCCGCTACATTGCTCACCATGTATTACTTGCACCCCAGTCATACCTCACCCCACATCCCCATATATCCCTTGCACCCCTTTCCCCTTATGTCCACTGCCTCGCCTACATCCCTTGCACCCGTGTGCAACTCAAGCCAAAACTTTTTTTTTCTTTTAGCTATAGAGAGGGTAGGATGGAGAGGGATTAGAACCCCTATCAGGTCTTATTGCTGTCTGTGTCCTTGTTAGGGAGATTTACCCCTCTATTTGTCCTGTTACCACTGAAAGTGAAAGAAAAACCCAAGTTTTGTGTTGTCACCAAAACAGGAATAGATGGGAATTCTTCCAATGGGGATACTAGTTCTGGTGACCCTGCTGACCCCCAATGAGGCATTGATGAATACAGAGCTGCATTGGTTTGTCATATCTGCCCGGAGTTCAGCTTTAAATGATTTGCACATTTTCCATTCTCAATTTTAGGAAAACTAAAAACACACAGACAAAAAAAACTTGCTGCGGGAAAATAGTTTCCAAGTGGGAGCTACACCAGACAAGTTGTGAGCTTTGATGTGGTCTGAAGTTTATTTTCAAGCCCGAAAGATAGACCAGAAAACAGGCGAAGGAAAAAAAAAATCATCACATATTTCAAAGATGAGTAACAATTGTTACACAACACAATCCGAGAATCCGAGAACACCGGAGATAAAAATAAATGAATCAGGAACGCCGGGATCACTGAACTCCCGGGATGCCAAGCTCAGATTCCAATCTGAAACCCCAAAGACAGCAGGTGTACAGACCCAGGAACTCAGCACAGGGATGGTGGAAGCTCCTCATAATGGGCACAGTAGGTGTACAGACCCGGGAACTCAGCACAGGGATGGTAGGAGCCCCTCATAATGGGCACAGCAGGTGTACAGACCCGGGAACTCAGCACAGGGATGGTGGGAGCTCCTCATAATGGGCACAGCAGGTGTACAGACTGCGGAAAACACGAAC